ACTGATTGAGAAAAGATGCCCCTCACTCTCGTTGGCTGTACAAAATTTGATATTGCTATATTATACCGTATCAATGTAGTTCACTTTGTTCAGCTTTTAATTCTCTATCTTCTAATATATATGACGAAAAATCTCAACGATCTTCGTCGAAATGGAAGTTGGCACATCTTTTATTGGCTATGTTTTTTTGTCATTTAGCCAAAACATTTGATAGTGCCAAAAGTTAGTATTGTCTAACCTCGCAAAGGAGAGATATTAGAACCTAAAACTTTAGGGTTAATAGTTTTGGACACTGATGCGTTGAATGAGCAAAAAAGTCGAAAAAAATTATCAAGTGCCCCATAAACTGGATGGACCCCAGAATTCTCTCTTAACTACTTCACAACCCTCTTCTTTATTAGACAGTGCGATAAGTAAATGATGTAGATTGAGTTAGATTAAACTCTGAAAATTGGGAAAACCACGACTATCTATCATTTTATTCCTTTTCTTCGACTATTATCGATTTTAGAAATTTCTTTTCAATTGTTTCTAAGCGAGTGAAATTATTCAGTAGTTCTAATCTTAATTCTTTCTTTTCTTTGAACGAGAATCGTGTAGATTTTATTCCATAAAATAGCATGAAATTCCTGGTTCTTTAAATTTTGACCAGAAGTACAAAATGTCCAAAAGAAAAGTTCATGAAAGTAAGAATCTTCATCCTTTCTCTTACACCCTCACATTTATCTTCATTTGTGCTTTAGACATTTTTACTTGCAACTATGGTTAAGGTTATCAATGCTCATATATCCATGGTATAGGCATTCTCATTGAAAACTAGCTAGCCTTACATTTAGGCATATCATTCTTTCCATATATACAGTACTCGTCAAAAGTCCTGCTACCAGAGGAAAACTACCTGAACGTAAACCTTTTGAGCTCATATTTTTACGACAAATAAAACTCAATGAACACTGATCATAGGAATCAACAAGAACGAGTTTAGCCTTAATACTAGGGACTTACAAGGCTAGCATATACCTTTTCTTGGAGTAAGGCTATCTTAGCGCATGAAGAAAATCTTTTCGCTTTTGAACACTTAATAAAGAGAACAATGCTGCCTTTCTGTTCCATAAAAATGTCGTACTAATCGATTTTAATCTGTTTCAGTTATGAACTACTCTTTGACACTGATCGACATATAGTTGGAAGCAATTTGTGAGTAACTTATTCAAAATTTAATTTTCCTTCAATCTTTGAGCTTGAAATCTTCATCAGAGACTATGCTCAAGTACAGAAGTTTTTCCTGAAATTTTCAGAACTATAGCTGCCAATAAACTAGAAATTCACTTTGCAATCATACCGGATGATGTGAATCCATTAAGTCTCAAGTTAACAACGAATTGAGATGATTTTTATGTGGTGAGTACATAATCATTAGAGCTTCGTGTTGATGAGAAAATAATAGCAAAAACGCTTCAAATTCATTCTTTATAATAGAAATATATAGGAAAGGTACATGCTAGCCTTGTAAGTCTCTAGCATTAAGGCTAAACTGGTTCTTGTTGATTTCTGTGATCAGGGTTCATTGAGTTCTATTTGTCGTAAAAATATGAGCTCAAACGGTTTACGTTTAGGTAGTTTTCATCTGGTAGCGGGACTTTTGACGAGTACTGTATTATAATGTGTTGCTTTCTATAACATGTTCTCAGTAGCCGAACATTAAAATAATGTTTTACAGTCGTAAATGTATACAAGGCATTAAAGGTTATGATTTTCTTTTCTAGATGAACATTGTTAGTTTTCAGAAGAATTAGTTTTTAGAAATAGCCAATAAACTCAGAGTCTTAGTGGATAATATTTCATGTTTATTATCTATTTATAAACAACAGTACTTCACAAGAATCGGTGAGTTAAAATCAAAGCTTTTCACTGTTTTCAAATATATATTGAGGCTCTTCCTATGACTCAAACTTAGTCACCTATGAGACGATTTTCTGGAGTTTTCTAAATGAGATTGACTTAAAACTTGATGTTCTCAATTAAATTAGCTTTCTGACTAATATCTAGTTAATGTGATTTATGGAAAGGCGTATAAAAATTACACTTTTTAAGCCAGATCATTACGACAAGGTGCTTTTAGCTTTCTTGTATATGTTACACGAAAAATTTTATTATATTTCATATTGTGAGCTGTCATGTTTGAAAGATTCGGCTTTTTACAAAGGGCGAGGGGCTCGATAAGCAAAGAAATCAGTTCTCTCGAGAAACTTGACTTGTTTTATGTTAAATTCTGGCACATGATACTTGGAAGTGGTTTTTAGTAGAATGGGTCCTATATCGCATATGTATGAACTTCGAAGACTGATGATAATGTAGTTTTTAATTTATTAATATGGTGATCTATCAATGTAGGTTTCATATGATTTAATAGTACTGTTTAAGAACTAGAAAATAGTCTCAAGACAAATGTGAAAGTTTATGTCCGTTATGGCTAAACATAGGATCCAGTCCCCTAATATCTCTGTATTATGAGTATTATTCACTGGAATCATGTGCCAATGAAACTTAATCCTATTCGCCACCACACTGATTTTCATATAATTCGATAGTGCCCTCAGAGCGCTACAAAATGGTATCAAGCACCCAAAGACAAACATTATACTGAAGAAGGCCCAAAATCATGCCCGACAACAGTCTATTCAGAACTTTTTTGGCTAGCCAACGTTTTTTCTCAGATGTTTTAATACCATTTTATAGCGCGTTGAGGATATTATTGAATTATATGAAAATTAGTGTGGTGGCGAATAAGATTAAGTTTCATTGGCACATGATTCCAGTGAATAATACTCATAATACAGAGATATTAGGGGACTGGATCCTATGTTTAGCCATAACGGACATAAACTTTCACATTTGTCTTGAGACTATTTTCTAGTTCTTAAACAGTACTATTAAATCATATGAAACCTACATTGATAGATCACCATATTAATAAATTAAAAACTACATTATCATCAGTCTTCGAAGTTCATATGTTTGTGATATAGGACCCATTCTACTAAAAACCACTTCCAAGCATCACGTGCAAGAATTCGACATAAAACAAACCAACTTTCTCGAGGGGACCAATTTCATTGCTTATTGACCCTTGTCATTCGATCAAAAAATTTATCTTATAGTCTTTACGATAGCTTTGAAATCTCAATGAAAATGCATATGCTTCTCTTCTGAAATGGTGTAGGTGTAGATAGTTCGAATCTCACAAAACATTCAAGAGAAATTCTTTTTTGTGTAAAGCATCGAACATCTTCTAAAGAGTCCAAACAACAAGCAGAGAAGTCCGTGAATCCTGATTTTCCTTGTATCTACAGTGAGATATTACTAGCTTATAAAGCAGTCCATCTAGGCGAATCAGTCCATTGCCGCAGGTCAGTGCAAAGGTTAGTATCCAAATCACTCACATCCTCAACGATATAATGAAAATGGAAAATATCTTTTGCGTAGAGGGCGTTTTGCAAAATTCTATGATCTCATGGCATTATTGAAGTTCTATAGAACTCCAAGATTCTTCTGTTTTCTTCATGGAAGAAGTATATCATATTGACTGGACCTTTCAGAATAGAGTGCAAACCCTAAAATAGAATTTAGGGCTAGTTTTCAGACTGCAGTTCTTTGATTTAATTCTTCTTCTAGACCTCTTCAAGAAGGTTGTGCATCACTAAAATGATCATGAATAGGTGGAAAATGCGAGATAACATCACTCGTTTGCTCTTTTTCTCTACATTTTGAATCATAATCATCAGTAAGATATGAGCTAACACAGAACACATCAGTTGAATCGACTCGTCTTGTAGAGATCGTAGCAGTACCGATTCTTTTTTACATATTAATGCAAAACAAAATGCCTTTTCAACAGCTACACAATCCCAGGTCAATCACGCCCGATCGGATCCTGTCGGTTCCATATAATTCCGACTGAAACCTATCTCAATTTTGTCGGAATCCTAACTAACGGATTCCGACGTCGGATCTGACATCGGATTTGCATAAAATCTGATCGAATCCTGTCTGTTTTTATCGGATTTTACCGGATTCCGGTGCGGATATCGTCGGAATCCGTTAGTTAGGATTGATTGCCCTGGGATAGTTTATCGATTAAAAGGTGTTGTTGTGTGTATAAAATAGCAAACACTGAGCTCCCATAGATTCACTACTCTGTCCAAATACTCTCTAAGAATGAGGTATTTCATACGAAACTCTCCTAACGTCATATTCTTCTTTCAATTACTTTAATGTAGTATTTTTGACTATGATGTAAACCCAATATTTACAACATTTCCAATGCTTTTAGCAAGAATGGGTAGCAAAGCCACTCGTCCTATACCAGATGGAAATATTTCAAGTGCAAATAACGAGATTGATTTACAATACCTACTTGAAGATGCCAATTGCATCCGTTCTGTACCGGTCGATGCTAAACATTTTAATGATGATGATTATGAATTGTTGAAAAAGTGGTCATTGCATCTCTGTTCTCCCGAAAGTGCTAGAACATCTACCGAATTAGATCCAACCTTCAATACATTAATAGATGAACCGATGGATGCAAGGACACTAGTCAATGAATTGGTTCAAAATCATACATTAAAAGTCTATGTTATTGATAGTTTGAAGAGATATCATAGTTTAATGGACATTATTCATACATTGGCAACATTCGATGAGTTACAAGACACAGAGTTTCCCCAACAACATCGAAAAACAATTGAAAGTTTTCATGCCATTATAAATAAAATAACGAAATCAGTTTTATTAACAACAACAATTGATTCAATGTCCTACGAAAGCCAACGCTATTTTGGTAATTTTATTAAGAAAAATGATTTACCTGTACCATTTGCATATTATATGTGGAATAAAAAGAATAATATTCTCGAATACAAAATCAACTTTAACTTATTAGCTGAAATAATGTGTTTAACTAACGATCATTATATATTACAAGTTGGTAGTGAATCAGCAATAGGAATGGGCAAGACAAGTTTATTACACTACATCTTTCCTGATAAACGTGTCGAAGCATTAAATACCGATGGAAAATCAACTCGACGACATGGTTGTATCGATGTAATTTTTTCATCACAAGCAACAAATCAAAAGAATGAATCTTATATTATTTTTGATACACATGGAACTATTAATGGATTAAACGAGCATATAATAAGGAGTATTCAAGCAAATTGTGCGCTACAAATTTTATATGTTACAGCAAAGGATCTCGAGAGTAACTTTTTAAATTCTATGATGAATTATTCAAGACAAATTCAAGAAAAACCCACTATTATCGTCATTTTTGATTCAGACTATGACGATACAGGTAATCAAAAGGAAAAGATAACTGGTGGTTTTCAATCAAAATATCACGATTGGAAATGTGTCAAATGGATAACAGCACCATGTGCCCAAATTTGGTATCAAATGGATTATGATAAGAAAAATAACGATATGAAACGATCGCAACGTCTTCTTAGATCATTTAAAGCAATCACAGAAAGTATGGATAAAGAAATGCAACAATCAGCGATTTGTACATCAATATTTTCCATTCAATGTGTTTATCTTACTGTTCAAAATTTAGAAAACTTTAATCCATCTATTAATCATTATTTTGAAATTCAAAACCGTCTCAAAGAACTATTCGATAATTTAAATGATAACACAGATAATCTTCAAATAGCAACACCAGTTAGCTATCTGAATTCAGCAATAAAACAATGTGAGAGAGAATTATCCGATAATTGGGATGCTCCTCAAATGGAAATACAAGCTAAAAGAGATAATTTAATTCATGCACGATCACAAATCACAACCATTAATAAATATACTGCATTTTTCATTAATTTATTGACGAGATGTTTATATATTGAATTATTGATAACCGAAAAATATTTAGAAAAATGGCGATCTCAATTTGAAGCAAAATTACACGATCAAATTGCACAAGTCAAAAGTGAAGCATCGAAATTTAACTCGAAGATCAAACGGCTAGAAGGACATTTGTCTGGAAAGGAAAATCTCAGCAAAGAATATGCAACAAAACTGCAACAAGATCTAGTAGCTGCTAAAACGGAATTTAGAAAACAAAGTATATTTATCAATGAAATCGATAAGAAATTAATGAATATTGATTTAACTATTGGACTTTTTTGTGATGAAATAATGGCTTTATATGAATTATCACCGCATTTATTCGATGGGAAAAATTGCATCCAAGATATTGCTAAAAATCTCGCAAATCTAATGTTAAAAGGTTTAGCGATTCATATACTTCGTGGTCGTCCATTGCATTGTTATAGTAAATTAGTAGAAGAAAGCATAAAATTTATTCCAATAACACAGAAACCACCTTTGGTTTTAACAGTTATTGGAGAACAATCGTCAGCGAAATCATCATTAATGAATACAACTTTTGGTTGTAATTTTCGAGTTAGTGCTGGACGTTGTACTATTGGAATGTACATGAGTGTTGTACAGTGGAGATTAGAAACAATTGTTATTCTTGATACAGAAGGTTTACTTTCATTAGAAGAAGCTGATTCAATATTTGATAATCAAATGGTTACAATGGCTATGCTTTCTTCACATCTAGTTCTAATTAATCATAAAGGTGAATTTAGTTCGAATTTGAAAGATCTTATTGGTATGAGTTTCTATGCTAAATTACAAATTTGCAGTCCAATTAAACCTAAATTACTATTTGTTTTAAGAGATCAAGCAGATCTAACATCTAAAGCAACCTTCTTTCGACAATTGGCACAGCTAAAAGAACAATTACAAAATGATAGTAAATTTCTTAAAATTTCGATTGATGAAGAACTTGATATTAACAATGAAAATGTTTATTTATTACCTAATGCATTTTCACATGATGTAAATCCCATTTCAAATATTCCTCAATGTTGGAGAAATCAAACATTTCCTAAAGAAATTATTACACTACGAGACATAATATTTAATAACATAAAAAGTACTACAAAGACACAGAAGTTTCAATTCGTTAAGAGTCTTTCTACTTCTATTACGGCCGCTCTTCCCGATCCTCAAACACCTATAAATGAACCAGCTTATGCAGACTTGACACATTTATATGGAAAAATCTCAAGTAATTGGGAAGCAATCGATAAATTAGGTCCCAAATTATTACAATGCAAAACTCTATATGAACTATCGATAATGAATGAACTTCAAGCAATAGCTAATGAAATAATTAAGACAAAAAATGTGAATGTCTATCGAGATGGTGAAAACATAATTGATCAAACATTACTGAAGTTTACAAGTAATAATTTTATTGATCAAGATCGTGATCGTATTGTTGAGGAGTTTAATCATCAATTAAGCTTAATTATTAAACGTGCTATCGAACAAGCACAATCTAATTTTGATGATAAAACAGAAAGAAGTTGCTATTTATCAGAGATAAAATCAAAAGTGAGCAAATCTATTGAATCACCCATTCATTCTGTAAAACATTTATTAAAAGAAATTTTTGAAGAACGTTTACACGATCTATTAAGAAGAGCTCGTATAAATGATGCTCAAAAACAACTATTGGATTCAGTACAAAAGACATTCGATCAAAATAAAAGTCTTAAACTAGATGATTTAGAAGATCGTCTTGAAAACGAATTTCAAAATATTATTGAAAAAATTCGAACTGATCTTCAATCATCATTTGAAACACCAACTATGATTACAGAAAAAATTCTAAAATTTTATAACACTCAACTGCGTTGTAAACAAGCAGAAACAACAAGAGAAAATATTTACAATTTATTATATCCTTTGAATAAAGTACAATATGAACAGCACATACAAATATTTATAAATTGTTTATCACAGGTTAGAGAGCAGCAAAACCAGAAGGTCGAACCAAAATCTGGTGGTATATGGAAAACTATCAAACCATGGCTTACAGGATCATCAGATAAGAATATAGATTCTGTATGGATAGAGTTAAAAGATAAAGTCAAATGGTTCCCAGGCAAACAAAAAGACGATAAAAATAAAAAACTATTTGCGGAAATATGGAATGTTGTTTTACTGAAATTTGAAGAAGAACTTTCAATATTCATATCTAACACAAAATCCATTTCATCAGATCCAATCACTGTGCAAAATCTTTTTCAATTTATTGAAAATGCAATGAATTCTCAATCTATAATGAGTGCTAGCAAACGATTAGAGAAACACAAACTCTGTGCAGATCTAGCTTTGATCGGACTTGATATTATTATTAAGAAAGCAATAGATATGGAACAAGCGAATTATGAATCAAAATCACAAAATTCAATAAATGAAATGAAGGAACGTAAAGAAAATTTATTGAAACAATGCAGTGCTATGAAAAACTCATTCGAATTAGGACAAACACTAGCTAAAACGATTGGAGAACAGATCATTACTGATATTGGTCGTCTTTTACAACGAAGAATTGTAAAAGACATAAATGAAGATATAGTTAAAAGTCAATTTATTAATCATGAAGCTATACAAAAACAAGCCTATGAAGAAAGTATAAGTCAAGCCAATGGTGAAAATATTCTTAAATATGTTTATGATATAAATCGTTATTTTATTGAATTGGGCTTAAAAGAAATCAAAACAACATTACATGCTGTAACACATAGTCATACATTAAATTTTCAGCAATTTATTATTTTGACCATCGATAAAGTGAAGGATGGTGTTCAACGAAATAACTATGAAAATACAAGTACATTAAAAAAAGATGTAGAGAATGCGATCCTTAGTTTACCTGTTTTAAAACTAGAAGAATCAGTTGATGGCGCATTATTTAAAGTATTCTCTTTGAATAATATAATTTCTATGCCGATTCAAGACATTGAACGATTTAAACAAGGTTTTTCAAGTATTGGTGACTTTTACAATCATGTCGAAAAGCGAGTTGCAGATTTAACAAAAAATATAAAAACTGGAGCATTCGAAAGTTGTAAACAAAGCATCTCAAAAAGGCTTGGATGTCAAGCACGATGTCCTGGATGTGGTGCTAAATGCAGTAAACCTGAACCTCATGACGAGGAAGAGGTTGAAGTCTGGCACGATTCATGTGAGAAATGTTCACCTAACAATTGCACTTGCCAACGTTCAAATTCAAGTTCTGTGAAAACTCATGAAACTACATATCATTTAGCAAGTGCATTTAATGGATGGAGACGCCACAAATCAGAAAAACCATACCTTGAATTATGCTATCAACGCTGGACAACAGTAGGTGCTTATGTTTTGAAAAGTGTTCAGTCGACTGACTCAAGTGATGAAAAGAAGGAAGATGACGATGAGTATGAATATATATTTCCGCAAGCTAAATATTTCAACACAAAGTATCCAGCCTGGTATAATAATTTAAAAAAGCTATCAACTGAAGGTGATGGATGTAAGGAATCAATTCCACCACCTGATCAAAGACGTGCTTGGATGGTAGTTCGTCACACTCTTGTTAATCGTTATAAAGACAAAATGGTTGACAATAAAGAATATGATAATAAATTATATCCATCGAATGTTGAAAGTTTACCAGCAGATTTTGAGCCAAACTGGAAAGATATAGATTTCGAATGATAAAACTTTTTGCTTATACTAAATATTTTACTAATCACATTAATCAATAAATCTGACACAGATTAACTTACTAGATACACATTTAGTAGCAAAATGATGGAATGATTGCATCTAGTTAAAACATTTAGACGCCTTAAATGAGAAGTATGACAAATCAAATCTGTTAGCGAAAACATTTTATTCGAGCGGTATACGATAACAAATGCTCTCAAAGTCCAGGATGAAGATTTCTCTCAGAAACAGGCACCTCTTTTAGAAAACAAAAATATTTAAAATCGAGTATCTTTGTCTATTTATTTTATTCGGATATTTTCTGTGTCCCTTGATGCGTTGCAATCAAAAAAAACTAGGGTGGGTGTGGGTGTGGGTGTGGGTGTGGGTGTGGGTGTGGGTGTGGGTGTGGGCGTGGG